ATTCATTATTTACTTTTCTAACTATATACATAGTTTAGACATTGATTATAGATAATTATACACATATAATTCATAAATTATGCATATATTATACCTCCATCGGCTATTTTTAGTTTAAACAATTGGTGGGCGGCTATTTGGGTTAATTTTTCAAATATAAATTGTGGTTTTGAAAAGCTCCATCCTGTGTAATTTCGGCTAACCAAAGCCAGTTCTTTCTTTTTGTATTTGGGAGAAATTCAAAAATAGCCATATTTACAAGTGGTCATTCAAAAATAGCCACAGTTTCAAAAGTAATTGAAATTTAGCCACTTTTCATGTAAAGATAAATTTGAACGAAAATACTATTCAAAATCTGAAAAAATACTCCAGCATAATATACTGGAGTTCCAGTATAATATACCAGTCCAGCATAATATACTGGAGATTGGAGCACCGACGCTCGAATCTCCAATATATTATACTGGAGCCAATAAAGTATACCGATCCAGCATAATATGTTGGAAGTTCATACACAGGTGCACCGAACTACAATATATTATGCTGGACCGATCTCTGTTGCAGCAAAATAGTGACTATTTTTCAATGACTTGACAAATGCTGGCTATTTTTGAATGGCCATTCTGAAAACTGGCTAGCCCGTGCTATTTTAACTTTGTATTTTGTGTTACATAAGTTTTGCTCGAACCAAATTGTAATTGGACTTCTTGTGTTTACACGAAAAGAGCAGCCCAAAACCAACTCAAAAATTTTGGGAGAAATTCAAAAATAGCTAGATTTACAAGTGGTCATTCAAAAATAGCCACAATTTCAAAGGCAGTCAAAATTTAACCATTTTTCATGTAAAGATAAATCTGAATGAAAATACTGTTCAAAATCCAGAAAAATACTCCAGCATAATATACTGAAGTTCCAGTATAATATACCGGTCCTGCATAATATACTGGAGTTTGGAGCACCGATGCTCCAGTCTCCAATATATTATACTGGAGCCAGCAAAGTATACTAGTCCAACATAATATGCTGGAAATTCATACACAGGTGCACCGAACTCCAGTATATTATGCTGGACTGGTCTCTCTTGTAGCAAAATAGTGGCTATTTTCATTGACTTGGTAAACGCTGGCTATTTTTGAATGACCAGTCCGAAAACTGGCCAGATCGTGCTATTTTAACAAAAATTTCTGCTTTTTACACGAAGACGTGGGTTCTGGAAGCTGTATTTTATTTTGTCACTATATACTTTCCAGATAACAAAACAAGAAAATAATGTAAAAGAATCAAAGATTATTTGGAATAATTTGTCTTTGTTTAAATTGTGTTTGTTTGTACTTGCCATGTTTTGAAGATTGGAATGACGAAGGCATTTTGTTCTGTTATCTAAACATTTTATCCCTTGTTACCCCGTTGAGCCTTATTTATTTTCCTTCATACCCCTCTTTCGGAATCAATGGCAAAATTCAGAAATGCGAGAAGAGAGAAAAGAGAAAGAAAACACTAAAAAAGAAAGGAAAAAAAGAAGAAGAAAAACAACAGAATAAGAAAGGAAAAGAAAGAGAAAGAAAATTATCACAACAAAGCAATTTCTATGACATGAACTACGTTCAACCTGATTCCTTTTAAGGATACGTAAGCAGCCTCACGGTTCGATCCCATCAAAATAAAATCCCAAAAGTCCCCAAGCAAAGAAACTGGGGAAGAAGTTGTGGTTGTTGCAAGAAATCTGATTCCAAAAGTTGTAATTTTGAACCCATTTGAATTGTTTTGAGCCTTTGATACCCTTTATTTCTAACCCTATCAAAAAGCTCACATTACGGTCTAAAGATAGACCTTCCGATCAGTCTTCGAGAAATGTCAAGTCAAGTAAGGAGAGGTAATTCACATCAGGGGCAACACTCTGGTTCAAGCAGAAAAATGTTAAAAATGAGAGAGTCTTCTTGGTGAAACCTTGACGGGCATTATAAGGCGACGGGAGTTGAGAAAAATCAAAATTAGAGAGTCTTATTGCTGAAAACCCTCACGGGCACCGTAAGGAGAAAGTGAGTTGAGAGATGAACAAATGAGAGGCTTGTTGGTAAAAACCCTTTGGGGCACCGCAGGCCGAACAAGGACAAGGTTTTGGTGAAGAAATTGGGTTTTGAAGATCTCGGGGCACAAAGTACGATAATTGAAAGTTGATTGGTTGGACAGATTGGGCCGATTAATCCAAAATGCATGTCATGATCATTGGTGCCAGCTTCTCCACTCAGATAAGTCTCTTTCCCTTTTCCTCTTCAGATAGTCTTCCAGCTTTGGATTTTTCTTATCCTTAACTCTGAAAGTCATTGCACTTCATTTCCTTTGAGTTTATTTCTCTAAGGCGTTTCCAATGTCAGTTCTGTCTAAGAAAATAAGAAGGGATTTCAAAGCTTAGTACCAACTTTCGAGGTTGCACAAGGCACAGGGCGGTCAAGGCATTGCTCGAGATAGTATGATGTGAAATAGGATATAAAAGGTCAGTAGAAGTTCCATCGATGAAATGGTTGAGTGATTTCGTGGGAAATGCAGAGGTTCAAACAGATGGGTCAGAGATGTAACACAATGGTTTAGGTATAGAACACTCGGGTCATCCAAGGTCGTGGGGGTTGGAAGTCCGTCGGAAAGTCAAAGGGGTTCTTGGCCAGCTTGAGGAAGTCAGTCAAAATAAAGCACAACAGCGGGAGGGCCACTTTCAGCAAGAATGCCACAAACTAACCACCACATTTTAAACTGACAAGATTTTTCTCTGATTTGAAATAGGGGCAGAAAGTTTCGTTTGTTCAGGGAAATCCTCCATAGGGGAAAAGCGAGCACCAGACAGGTTTGGCCGTAAATTTTCAGGACCCTCCTGGAAAATGGGACCTAGTTTAAAATTCCAAACAATCATGAGTAGCAAAATCTAGCATAAATGTACCCCAAAGGAATATAAGTTAGCTTCACAGTTTGCATGTTTGAGATAGGATCCAATTAGGAGTTGTCAGGACCCTCCTGAATAATGGGACCTAGCTTTAAGATTTCCATTAGAGAACAAGAGTTAGAATAAGTCTTGTTGTAGGGTAGTATAATTCAGTTGTAAAAGTTGTCACTCTTAAGATAAGACTTGATTTTTGATTTTCAGGACCCTCCTGGATAATGGGGTGTAGTTTTAAGACCCTCTTAGATAACAAGATTTAGCGGAAATCACACCTTTGGAAGATATAATGTAGATTTAAAACAGTTGTTTAATTAAGAGTTGCCAGGACCCTCCTGGATAATGGGATTTAGCTTTCAAATTCATAGAGATATTTGGTGACATGATTCAATTAACACTCATAGATACGCCCAGCACCAAACTGAGGCAGGAAAATTTCTTTTGTTTTGTTTGTTTTGTTGTAATCAGGTTCAAAGGCAGCAGTTTCAGATGAACAGTTCAAGTTCAGCAATCAGGCGCCCACCTGGAGAGCACGGGAATACAGTTCAAGTTTTGGCAATCAGGCGCCCACTTGGAGAGGATGGGAATACAGTTCAAGTTCAGCAATCAGGCGCCCACCTGGAGAGTACGGGAATATAGTTCAATGTTTTGGTAGTCAGGCGCCCACCTGGAGAGCACGGGAATACAGTTCAAGTTTTGGCAATCAGGCGCCCACCTGGAGAGCACGGGAATACAGTTCAAGTTTTGGCAATCAGGCGCCCACCTAGAGAGCACCGGAATACAGTACAAGTTCAGCAATCAGGCGCCCACTGGAGAGCACGGGAATACAGTTCAAGTTCAGCAATCAAACGCCCATCTAGAGAGCACGTGAATACAATTCAAGCTTGGCAATCAGGCGTCCACCTGAAGAAAAGGGAAAGCATCTCAAATTAAAGGAACTCCACTTGGAAAATACAAGATAACAAGGCAACAGGAACTGCAAGATCAAGTTTGAAGATATAGATAGGATTCTTGTAATTCATAGATCATAGTTTAGCCTAGCTCCTTTTATTTTGTCATGGTGTAATAAGGAGGTCAGTAAGCAGTAGTAGTAGCAGCAACAACAACAGTGAAACCACAGCTTCATGGTAGTCCCAGCTACTGAAACTTCCCGAACTACACTGACCTAATTCCTTTATAGCCAAGGATATCTAGACAACCTCAGAAGTAGGGTGCGGTCAAATCTTTCGAAAAATGCTTCCCACGGAGTATTCACACAGACAAAAATCGCTCGTATCCGCTCACTTTATCTTTGCACGAAAACTCTTTGTGTTTTCGAGCAAAGAGGGGCAGCTGTGAGCACGTGATTTTTGCCCTATATGAATTACTCCCACAAATTCAAAACAAAATAATTTTTCCTATTATTTGCAATTTTGTAGATTTTTGTCGCATTTTTCGTTAATTGTTTGCATTTGTCTGCGCATTTTAACTTTGTCTAATTAATGAAAAATACAAAATAGGTTGCATTTGCATTTAGGATTTAAGCCTACATTTTAGGATTAATTAACAAATTAGTTGTTCTATAAAAATGAAAAAATCACAAAAAATAGTTTGTTTTGCACTTTTTAATTTTAGTTTTGAATTTTGGTAGTTTTCCCTTCAATTTGGATTTTAATTTATTGTGGTAATTATTAGTTAGATTTAATTAATTCAATATGGTAGGGTTAATTTGATTTAGGAATTAGTTTAGGTTTTATCTTAATTTTTAATTTAAAAAGAAATAAAAAAGGAGTTGAAAAATAAAAGGAATTAATTTGAAAAAGAGGAAAAGAATGAAAAATCAGATTTGGGCCAAAATTCGAAATTTCCTAGCCCAAAACCAATTTCCCCTCACGGATACCCGCTTAACCCAGGCCCAAAACCCGCTATTTTACCCGGTCCAAGGAGTCAGTCAACCAGGCCTTCGAAACGACGCAGTACGGGATTGGAACTACGTCGTTTCGAGTTCAGTGTAGCCTCAACAAATCCGAGCCCTTCATCTTGTTTCATCTAACAATCCAAAATACATCTCTATTCTCACTTAAGAGTGTCTGAAATACTTCAGATACAGCCCAGTTCAAAACTCCTCCCTGTCTCTCACCTTCCTCAACAAACCCTAGCGCCGCCCTCAATCTCTTCGCCATTTCCGGCCGGCGGCGGAGCTCAAATACCACCAAAATCAAGCCATGCAACCATCACCCTTCCCTCAGCCCCAATCCACCACCATTTTTCCCCAAATCCTCACCAAATCAGGTCAGATTCAAATCTAAAAACGAAGAGAAGAAATCTGGCAAGCTGTCAAGTTTTCTACGAACGATGCGGCTTGAAACTAGTATTGTTTGTCTGTTCTCAAAGAGAACATGTGGGTAATACCAGTTTCGGGTCAAGTCGAAGTCGCCTGAGGTTGCCAAGTTTTGTCCGTGCGGTTACCTAGGTACTTTTGTTTTACCATTTCGTCTTCGTCTTCTGTTTGTTCGTATACTCATATCCTTCTGCTTCTTCTCTTTTCTGTCCGTTTTCTTTCTTTAGTTTGATTTCTGGGGTTAAACTTGTTGAAATATTAAAACACTGAACATAGGTTTCTTTGTTTATGTGGTGGTCGTACTTATTCCGTAAGCCTTCCAATCTTCTTGTAGAAATTCTCATGAATTCTGTTTTAGCTTGTGCATATTGCCCGTTTAAGTTCTGGTTTGTTTTTCCAGTCGTATAATTGGTTCTTGTTAATTCAAATATATAGTTTAATTGTAGCTCATTATTTTAGTTTAAAAGGAAATCAGTCATTTGAGTTTAGTTTTTAGTTATGGAAAAAACATTCAAGCAGTTATTCTCTTCTATTTCTCTNGGGGGGGGGGGGGGTAATTAACAGAGTTTCAAGGGTCAAATTATGAAATCTAGGTGAGGAAATATGTAGTAACTGAATAGGAAGCTTCCAGGAAAGGGGGGTTGGGACTATTTTGAAATTCTGAATTTTACATTAGGGGTATGTGAGCTAAAATCAAAATTGTAAAAGGGGCAAAATGCAAAGACTGATATCTTTAAGCTGCCCTAATGCCTTGCCTATAAAGGCACCAAGACTTGCTATTCAAGTCAGATTTTGAAGAGATAAGAATCGTAAAAACTGAAAGGGCTGCCTCTTCTTTAAAATTTGGGAAGCAACCTTGAATTCCGGATCTCTGAAAGCTCATGGTTTGCATTCTGGGTTAAAATGGATTGAGTTTTGGGTATTGTAGAGTTTGATTTGGGTTTTGCTGTGGTATTCACTGCTCCATTGCTGGGTTTAGAGCTGGTTTCTATTTTTTTTAGTTCCCTTTTAGTGAGATTTTTTATAAAAAAAAAGCTGTCAAAGTGGTAGTGATTCTGGGTTGAATCTAGTTCAAAAGCTAAATTGTTGTTGTGTGGCTATTTCCGTTACTGGCTATTGCTGTTGTTTCTCCTTGAATTCCAACTCATTTTTCATTTGTGAATTGTTATAATCAGGTACGCCTTGGATCTCTTGTCATGTGAAGTGAAAGTGTGAATCCCTGTAATTCAAGTTGAAGAAAATGATCGACACTAATGTTCTGCTGCTTGTTCAATTTGAATTTGATTTTTTGGTTCATCTTAGTATAGCTCTTTTGTGCATTTCATTTTATTTTAAGGTTTAGACTTGGATTTATTGGGATGTATCCGATTTGAGATTGTTTTAGACTCTATAATGTGTAATAATTATGGACTGTGATTGGTAATTCAGCTGGCTGAAACTGTTTGGTTTTTTTGTGATTTCATAAGGTCAAATTCATGTCAACTCCGATCATAAGCTTACTGAATTTGGTTTAAGTCATTTTCCAGTAATTTTGCTCAAATTTACATCTGTATGGTTTGAAACATAGTTCAATGTTTTCATAGCTTATCACTGGTTCTTCTTTTGTGTGTGTTCTGAGCCATTCAAATTTCTGAAAGGGGATTTTCAAGAGAATTAAGCCTGATTTCAGATTTGACAATTCGCAGGCCCAAGTCAGTTCGTTTTTATTGGTTTCTTTCTTCTTCCTTAAGAATTTTAAGTTAGTATGATCCAGTTAAACGGGTTGGCTTGAATCAGATATTACATGAGTTTATGGTCACTAAGTTTTGATATTAGATGATGGGTAATTTGTGCAACCTGAAATTATAGTTGCCATAGAATGCATGCACTGATTTCTGAACGTATTTTACATTTGACAGAGGGTTGTTAGCACTTGTTCAACTCCAGAATTTTCTTGAATGATAATCGGCTTCAAGTATACTTGTTGAACCACGTTTTGGGCTATCACCAGCGGCTCAATCGCAATTACGTGCCCCCTTTCACAATCAGGCTTCATTTGGAGCCCAGTTGTTTTGCACGTTGAGCCCGCTGTAATAGGCATCAAGACGTGAGATTTGGACCAACCTAGCCACTCCATAATATAATAGGGTTGGTCTGTTACTAGTTTAATGTTTTATTAAATTATTAGCTTAAGTTTGACATAACATAAATAGGAATTAGCTTACATTCTTTAATCAACTAGCCATGTCCTTTTAATTAGACTCGAGGCGTGCCGTCAAATAAAATTAGATAACCAGTGGCCCTCACTTAATTTCTTTCAAAACCCTTTGGAATAATTTGAGGCGTGCCATGCCATATAAAACCCCTAAGCCCATGGCCCTCACAAAACTAGCTAGCTTTTATAGACAATTTGAGGTGTGCCATTTTCATTAAGTAACACATGGCCCTCATGTAATTAACGCCAACTCTTTTAAAGTCGGGGTGTGCCATCAATTGAATTTACATGGCCCTCGCAAACTTGAAAGTGCGTAGTTGCTTTAGGCGCGCTATTTAAAAATTACTTCCCTAAACTCGGGTGTGCATTTATGTGATCCAAATCCAAATCTCAACAACATTACATAAAATGTGTCGTGGACCGCGGGTATATTTATGTGACATGGTTCAAGATGTGTTTTAGATGATGTTGAATCTTCTTGAAAAATATTTACATAAAAGCGGTTATAAAGTTAAAATTAAACCATAGCCTAAAACATGTATTAAAATCAGGTAAATAGGCCAAATATAATAGTTGAGTGACCGTTCTAGAACCACAGAATCTGGGAATGCCTAACACCTTCTCCCGGGTTAACAGAATTCCTTACCTGAATTTCTGTGTTCGCGGACTGTAAAACAGAGTCAATCTTTTTCTCGATTCGGGATTTGAACCGGTGGGTTAGGATACCATAAAATTATTCCAAGTGGCGACTCTGAATTTAATAAATAAATAACCCCGTTTCGATTGCCACTTAAATTGAAAAAAACTCCCTTATACCCCTTTAAAGGGGTGTAGGTAAAAAGTAGGTGTGACAACTGTGTCGCATGTATGTTTCGCAAGCAGGGAAATTTCCCTAAAAGTTTCAAGTTGAATTTCTAATATTATGAATAAAATCAAGAAAGAGATATGATTTAAATGTTAAATTTATATTTGACCGCATCACAGGTATGATTCGCGAGAGGGGTAATTTCTTAAATTTATATTTGAACGTTTCGCATGTATGATTCGCGAGCAGGGACCGCGTCGCAGGTATGATTCGCGAGCGGAGAAATAGATGCATCTATGGTTCGCGCCGTTCGACCCTCGGTAGTGCGCATTTGACTTTTATGTTGGATCGGGCCATATGTTTCGGCATTGCCTATACACACACACACACACACACACACACACACACACACACACATACACACACACACACACATACGCACATATATATATATATATATATATATATATATTTATCAGTATTATGGAATTCGTGTGTAACATTTGGCTATGAGCTAGTGTAGCTAAAGATTTATCCCTGATTTGAATTATGACAACCTCTTGATGACATCCACGATATCTTTATATATATGCTCCGGATACGGAGGGAACTTGCTAATTGAGAGCTTGATTAAAATTGTAAAGAAGGGAATTGTACCACGTATTTTATATATGTTTATTTCATATATTTACTTTATTTCATATTTATTCACTTCTTTATTGTATATGATATTATTGGACCACTAGTAAGTATCGAAGTCGACCTCTCGTCACTACTTTTTGAGGTTAGACTGGATACTTACCGGGTACGCATTATTTTCTTACTCATACTACAGTTGTTGTGCAATTTTGTTGCACAGGAACATGTATGTCTAGTGGTCTCGTTGGGCGCAGCAACATGGTTGATACGGAGATTTAGGGAGCTGCATCTCTCGAGATGACCCGCATCCAACAGAGTCTCCTTTAGAGTATTTTATTTTCTTTCCTGTCCAATTTGTATTTTGGATAATTGTGGTATTATATTTTATTTTCTAGAAATTACTCATGCACTTGTGACATCGAGTTTTGGGAGAACTATGGGAGTATTTAGTATGTAAACATTTGAAGACATCATTATTTACTCAATGGAATTCATTATTTATTGTTTAAATTAAGGAAAATAAATAATTTCAAAAATACTAAAATGAGAATTTAATTAACTTCTTGGTGTTGGTTTGCCTAACAGTGGTGTCCGGCGCCATCACGATCCTTAATGGAATTTGGGTCGTGACATATATGAAGGGCTTTTTTCACTTTAGTCCATGCCAAAAACTATTTATATTTGGTAGCCGAAAAAATGTATAAAATTTGGATATTTTTTGTATATAACATACAAAATGTATATATATATATATATATATATATATATATATATATATATC